CAAGTCTCATCTTTTCAAATAAACATTAGAATAAGTTGTGTATTTTGTATTATGTAATCCTATGTAATGTAAAAAACGTTCTCTTTTTCTAATTAATAAATTTGAGGCAAGACCTTGTTAAAACAAAAAAAAAAAATAGTAAAATATTTTTTATACTTATCAGATATCTGATATATCTATTGGATACTTAATAAGTACATTACTTTTACACCTATCAAGTATCCGATAGATGTGATATTTAACCAGTAATTCTAGTATATTACAAGTATGAAATGTTCAAATAATACACTAGAACATTACATTCTAGTATACTATAAATATAAATATTTAAATAATACACTAGAACATTACATTCTAATATGTTAGTGCCATTCAAATAATGTTATAGAACAGTATTTATATAGTGTTGTAGAATGTTTTTATTTAATTTTTGATATCAAAGTTCAAGTTTTTAGTTAAACAAGTAAAAACTGATTTATCAATTTCAACAAAACACTGTCACAAAACTTTTAACAAAAGAAGTTTAGGTCTCACACATAATTATTTGGAACTATTTGACTAAACTTGACTATAAAAAAAGTGTGCAGAAATAACACCAATACTTACAAGCGAACATATACAAAAACATATAGTGTAGGTAAAAAAATATCAAAATAATAATTGGAACAAAAATGTTTTACTAATGAAACTTCATTTTAATTATTTCATAAAACAGTATAATATTGGTACAAAGAAAAATATCTGGTATAACAAGTTTCAAAAGGTAAAAGAAAAATTTTTTCCTGGGAAGTTTTTGGTCAAAAGGAAAAATGAGTCTTTTTAGTTTTCAACAAATTATGAATAGCCTATTTTATGTGAAAATCTTAAAGAAACACTTTTCCAAAATTTGAAGAATGCTTGAAAACCATTGGCAGTTTCAACAAGACAATAATCCCAAGTATACAAGTCGAGTTGCAAAAGAATTTCTAAGAAATGTCCCAATAGTAATCAATTGGTCATTTAATAGTCCCAGCCTCAACCAATAGAAAATTTGTGGAGTATAGTTAAGGGAAAGGTTGAAAAACATTGGCTAAAAAATTTAATTGTATTAGAGTGGTTTATGGTAGAAGAATGGAAAAAAATCCCAGAAAGTATTTTAGTGAACTTGGTGGAATCCATAAATGAATGATGCAAACTTGTAATTGAAAAAAATGGAGAACATATCCCATATTAAATGCTTTAAATTTTTTAAATAAATCTTTAATCATTCAGAGCCATTGCACATGTGATGTGACACAGTAGTTTTTGAATTATTAACATGTGAAGACTTTCTTACTGACACTATATATATTACCAATGTTTTTATGATGCCCTTCGGTAAAGTAATGAGCATGATTTTTGTTTTATCCAGCCATTACAGATAATAGATCATATTTGTTATTTTTTTACATTATCATTAAAACATGATACATGCCAATTCTCTCATCTTTACATCATATTGGTTTGGTCATGAGGAATAATAATTGTGATGCAAAATTTAAATCAGTTTTACTGTAATTTTTTATCCTTCCATTAATCATAAACTATCTTTCCAAAATGTCACTTTATACCGGTAATTCAAATACCAGTTTTAGTAGCTTTAGTAGCTTTAGTTCAACAAGCTCTGTAGCCACTGAGTAAGTAAATTTGTGCAATTTTTACTCCTTATTTTACTAACTTTTTGGAAATATTCTTAGGGATAGTACTGATGTGGTTCCAAAAAAAATGTCAGACTGTAACTATTATTGAAAATTGTGATGAGAAAAGGGAAAATTTAATGAAAAAGTGAGATGGGATGAAGTAACGTAAGTTTTACTGTTTGATATTGATATTTTTTTGAGCCAGTTTCTGATATAAATTGCTTATATTAAGCCTACCATATGTACTTGCTACAGGCATCACCCTAGAAGATTATGAAGAATGTGTAGAAGAATTTAACATTCACAGATGCTGGGAATGGTCGAATGGAGAAGTAATAATTTATGAACTTCCTTCTATATCACACGAAGTTGTTATTGGTGCAGTTACTAGGATGTTATTGTACCAATGCAATGCTGTTGCTTTTACCGATGCTGAGATTAATAGTTTAAGTGCTACTAGTAAGTATTAATGTTATAACTGTTTGTGCGTGCATCATATTAATTTTTATTTCTTAAAGGAATATGTGACAGAAACTGTGGAATCATTTTGTCCAATAAAACAGCCGTAATTGTATCAAATGGATATGATGGAAATGTAATTTCTGTTCTTTTTATTAGTTTTGAACTTTTTAAAGCTAGTAATTTCATATATCTTTTTGTTTAGGATTTACCTTGGCCAAATTTGGTTGTGGAAGTAACCTATACTAAAACATTAGCTCATGTTGAAGAAACGTTGTGCTACTGGTTAAGTCCTGGTCTTGCCCATGATTGTATTATTGTATCAATCGATCCGATTCTCCAAGGCCAAGTACCGGTCCGTATGAGGGTAAGTTATATTTAACAGCATAGCAATTATATTATTCGATAACATTCTAAGATTTTAATTATTGTAGGTTTGGCATTACTGTGTCTCAGCAGGTAGAGGAACGAGAAATATATTTCCTCTTGTAACTACGGTAATGTTGGACTATAGTGGTTCGCTTTTCTGTTAACATTTTAAAAATCTCTAATGTATGTATAATGATTATTAGTTTGAATTTGGAACCCAAGATGGCACGGGAACTGCAACAAATATTAATCAAAGTCAATGCATCATTAACATATCATTAAGCTGTCTTTATCATGAGTTGAAGCTTCCTACCCAAATCCCTCAAAATCTTCCTGATCCTATTACATTGGATTTCTACTTTGCTCAACGTGTCATCACATGAGCATTTAACATTCACTAGGGAATGTCATACTACTTCACACAATGTTATAGCCTTGGTTTTAGCAAGTTTTTTTTTTAACGTGACATGTGGGTTGACACTGTTTTTAATTATCTTACTAAGCATTTCTACCTATATTGGGATTCGTGTTAACATTTACTGGATGTATTTTGCACAAATCATAGATCACGAGTATTATCAAAATTATTTTTTCACATTGAGGACATGATAATTTTTTTTTGGTGCGGTGTTAAATAATTGATTTTTGTATTAATACTAGTAGATCATTCCTTCAATTTGAAAATTTCCATATATAATACTTATATTACTTATATACAAATGATTGAAGAATATAATTGTGAATTTTTACTTAACTCTGGTCAGGCTTGTATGCGACCTGAAGGATGCTTTTATTATTGAAAATCGAAAAAACATTTTCCTGGTAAAAAATGTGATAAACCTATTGCTTCTGAACCTGGTTTATGTAATAAAACATAGTGGAAGTTATGTTGCCAAATGCGTATATGATAAAAAAATTTACACTTTGTATGCATAATTATAGTGTAAAAAAATTGGATTAGATTTATACCTTGAACAAAATATTATTTTTAATTTTGAAAAACTTTTAGAGATTATACATAAAATCACTTTTAAACTTTTTTTACTAATCAAGAACTATAATATTATTCTTGATTAAAATACAGATTCTAGAATAATAAAATAAATGTAATGTATATCGAAATTAATTTAAAAATAATTTTTGAGTATATTAACTATATATATATTTTAGCTTTTTTTGAAAAAAAATAATATAATGCAGAAAAATATGATAATAATGATTTGATTTTTTTTTTTTAAAAAAAAAAGAAAAGAAATATATTCTTGAATTACGAAGAAAATTTGTTATTATCGTATAGCAAAAATGGTTAAATATATGGAGAATCAAGTAGATAGCAGGTGTAGAAAATCTGCGCCAGAAAATACGTTTTAATCCTCCATTTACTCTATCATATGACCATATATTCCATTATGAAAAAAACATAAATAGTATAGAAATTTGTCCTGTTGAGAATTGTTTTGAAATCTTTTAAATTTGGAGTTAGAGGATGTTGAATTATTGGAACTACCATTTTCTTTATCTCAAGATAGAATGAGTATTGATAATTCACTTGAAAATTATTTTCAGTAAAAAGTAAACACATTTGGCAAATGATCTAGATACGATTGCAAAATATAATAATATTATAAAAAATTCGAGATATCTAAAACATTGATTATGTCAACCAAATACGTCAAAGAATCTAAATTTAAAAATAAGCCTTTTAGCAAAAAAACAGAAGTTGATTAGGTCTAGTGAATTCTTTTGTGACATTGACTATTTCAAAGTTAAGTTTGGATGATATTAAGTATATAATAAATAAAAAAAAACCTAGCAAATAGTATTACTGTGTCCAGGTTCTTATTTCGGAAAAATAATATTTAATTTGTATAACAGTTTATAGAAAGAAGATTCTTCCACATCTAAATTTTGTAGATGTTAACATAACATCTCTGTCTTATTTTAAAAAAAAAAAATAAAAATAAATTACCCCCGTATTGAAAAATACATAATAAATTACATATATTAAACTCATCTGCAATTTAGATATCGATATAAAGTTGTCTCACGAAGTGAGGATGCTTCCTCATCTAATTATGAGAGTTTGAATATTTCTCAATCCGAAAGTTACACATATTCAAAGAACTTTCTTTTAATTCTTTTTAATAGGAAACCATTTGAGCTTCAAAATTTCACTTATATTCTAAGAAATCAATATTTTCGCGTTCCTTTTTTCAGTAATTATTTATTATTCCGAAATTCAAAGGCAATCTTGTCTCTCCATTGATCTAACATTTTTTTTCAGTATTTTGAACTTTTGTTGCAAAAAAAAAGGATAAGAGTATCTATATCTGATCTATTTCGGATAAGAATTTTCTTCTGCATTAGTTTGATCGACATCAGCTAAAGGTTTAAAATAATATGGACCAATAGAAATCAAGAAATTTAAATATTCTAAATATTCTAGAAATTGATTAAGCATACTACTAGAAAAAACCGTATAGTATTCTCGTATGATCAATAACAGAAGAAATCATGATAAAAGGAATCCAAGAACTAACGTTTATATGGAATAAGACGTCTAAAATATAAGGGAAATAAAAGAAGTTAAAAGTTATATAAGTTTATATAAAGGTTTACAACCTACATAAGTGTAATAATCAATGAGATTATACGATCTTTACGTACTGATTCGAATAATAAAATTATGCATTTTCATATGAAACTATGAAACTAGTATTCTTGTATAGAAATTATTATAGACCTTCGATAAAATTACATAATAATATCGTTAAATTATACGTAAGTTTGAACTTGCGTATGTGAAAAATTGAATATTTATTCGTTACATGTTTTTAGATATATCTATATACAAAAACATGTCAAATTCCCATGTAAAACAAATAAAGTGAAATATATGATAATATATGATCCAAAGTTATGGTTATCTTGTTGCAAAAAAAAAAGACATAAATCCCTTTCCCTAAATCAAAGGCCTCCGGGTAATCTTGTAACAAGAATAATATTTGAATCGTGTACAATTCCGTAATCTGACAGTTTTTTATTATCTTCTAACTGTTTGCCTTGAAATAATAACCTTTGAGCTTCTATTGGAATCTTATCATAGTTTTGTTTCAATTCAAGTACGGTACTAATTGGTTTGATGATAATAGCTGTTGATTTGCCATCAAGATCCTTAATGAACACTTGTATGGAACCTTCGGCCTTTTTAACGAGCTTGATATTTTCATCCAAATTAATTTTATAACCTCTTACTTTTTGATTATTTTCGAGCTTTTTATCGCCGAGAAATAATTCTTGGTCTTCAATCTTAATTTTGAATTTGCTTTCTATCTTTTGTTTCACCTGATGAATGTTATCATCAGGGGAAATCTCGAGAGTCAAAACGACCGTTCCATAGACAAGTTTAATCGTGAATTGTGACATTTGATTTGAATAGTTAAAGCTTTGTTTAAGTATTTTAGCTTTGAGAGAATTGGTATTTTGTAAGCAGGAAAGATAGAAAATCAACCCCTAGATCTCGGATCTCGTGGAAATCATGTTTGGTAGGTGTATAGCAAGCATCTTTCCTAAAACTGGGAGTGAATTATACTTTATAAGGTTATAACGCAACAAAATTTTTAAGGAGTGAATTATAATTTAAGTATTACATGGCGTCGAAGTAAAATTACGAAAGGTCTCTTCATTACTTTACAAAATTTTAGATAAAAATATGTCTGATTTAAACGATTTAAATGAATG